GTATATATATATATATATATACACACACACACACACACACACACACACACACACACACACTAAATATATTACAAGCTCGACTGGGGAGTAAATTTTTATAAAGTAGATTTAAATGTAATTCATATAATGGTATTTGTGTATTATCTTGTATTTTTTGTAAGCAAATATATGTAAGAGAAATAGAAAACTTGTGTTTAATACAAATAATAGACTATAACATGTTAAACATATTAATAAATGTATTATGGAAAAATATCATACCTTACAAATATTTCTATTTTGGTATTCTTGTGAAACAAATAAGATTATTTTATTAATAAATTTAAAACGTATATAAAGCTTTAAGACAAAAATAATGTAGGAAATTTTTCATTGTTAAGTAGGTCTTGTTAGAGAGTGGGTTATGCTAGAAACTTAAGAGTATCCTGGAAAATATGAATTCATGTATTTATGTATGTGTTTTATTTGTTTTAAATTAACAAAAAAGTTTTAAAAATATTTTACCAATTTTCCGCCTAATATGCACATTGTCAATATCTGGAAGGAAAAATATTCCTTTCTTGTTAAACACAAAGCTACACAATGGGCTATCTGTGCTTTGCCCACAGCAAATACTGAACCCATATTTTTAGCAATACAAACCCTCAGAGTTGCCAATAGGAGAGGGGCTTGACCATTGAAATAATTAAATTTTGAGTCATGCCTATTTGTTATTTTACTTACAGACTTACATTAATATGTTTTCTATGTTTTTTTGTGGAAACTGGGAATGTTTACCCAAGAACCATAAAAACATTGTTTATACTTGATCAGAAAATAGTACAGGGATGAAAATAAGCACGTGTTTGTGAACTTTATGATCAATATCAAACAGTAATTAACTGTTTCCTTCAATGACTTAGCTTTAAGACAGAGGCCTCATAACTCTAAAAATCTGGTTCTGATACAACACAGATACCCCATTGTGTTTTGTCATTAATTTCACTTCTTTTTACTCATAATTATACACAGAAATATTTTTGTATTTACCTTTAATTATCATGTCCTTTACCACAGCCTGATGACATAGCAACAACTGCTGTTGAGAAGATAAATGGACTCCTGGAGTCATTCATGGGAATTAATGACAATGAGCTAGGTATGTTTTCAATATTCTTTTATCAGTGCTATAGAATATTAACAAAATACTTTCTGAAATTAAGCAGAAAATCTGGTAGTTTTTTAAAAATAATCCTTGAATTTGAAAATACTCAAGAAAAAAATTACTTTGTATTAAATATATGAATTGTTGATCCCTCTGGCAGTAATAATAATCTCGTAAATCTTGTAGAGCACATTTGATGGATAGGCTTAGACTAACCTTGTATGTTAAATTATGGTATGTAACGCCTCATGTTGGAGAAACATGATCAATTATTGGGTAATTTTTGTCACTCAGAATTCTATTTTAAAATCTATCATAAGCTGTTGCTCTAAAAATTTTTCAACCTCATCGACTACTTAGGTCTAGCTTATATAAACTACAAGTTACAGATTTTAGAGTAAGGAAGAATATATTTACAACAGCGGTCCAAACATCGTACTTGTAAAAGTTGTAACTCTTGTAATAAAATAATACTTATAAGCAGTACATAAACTCAAAATGAAACTCCAAAACTTAGTTTCAATAGTATGACTTTTTCACAAGTGTATCTTCTTTCTCGTCCCACTTCCCTGTTACTATGTTAACAATACTATTGTTCTGCTTTCACGTGAATAAAACACAACTTCATGTTTACTAAAACTAGTCAATGAGACGTCACCATAAACCTAATAAATAAAGTGGGTGGTCCATACAACACACTGGGTATCTATAATAATAATAATAATAATAAAAGGGTGTATCTATAACCGCCATAGCTCCAAGAAGTAAGAACCTAGAAGTAGAAACCTGAAATTTTGCGTCCATACTAAGTGGACCCTGAGGGTGTGCACCTGGGTATTATTTACTTATCCATGTGCATGCGTGCCCCTGTAGTATATCAGTTAGATTAACAACTTCTAATATATAGAAAAGCCAGTGTGTTGTGGTAACAATGCATTCCAACAATGGCTGTCATGTCATATCGCTTAGCAACAAAAGTATATATAACCTAATATTGTTGTTAGTCTATGTACTGAAATGTATAGACCACAAAACTGGAAAAATATTTGTTGATTTCTTAATTTAGTCTCCCTTGATGAAAGTTTTTTTTATTAAAAACGTTGGTGATACAACAGAAAATAACTTAATTCAGAAACAATATTTGTAGTTTCATGATAAATTTTATGCAGTTGCTAAAATATATCAACCTAAATAACCCGTTCAAAGCCGAGTACTTTTGCTAGTAAGGACTATGTATAGTATAGAATTTTTCTGTGTTAATGAATTATGGACAAAATAAATTACCTAGATAAAATTGTCTGAGAAACATACAGGAGTTTTGAATAGGTTACTGATTTTTTTTTAATAAAGTTTCTCTAGTGCATACTGGTGTACAAGACATTTTAATACTAGTTTTAAACGATCTTAAAACACCAATTTTTCCTTTTATTGGACATTCAATGTTTCGCTTTACAGGTTAGTCAGGAGCATGTCACTAAAACACACACTGTAACTGACAGTACAAAGCTTCAAACAGTTTGTTTTTCCAGCAACACTCCTGAATAGCCTGATAAAGCAAAACAATGAGCATCAAATTAAAAAAAAAATTGTTATATGATCGTTTATTACTAGTTATAATCTCAACATATAAGCTAACATGACTGGTGATCGATAGGTGGTGTGGCATTACCTCACAATATACTGATTACAATCTTTATCACTCAATGCTTCACTGTTATTAACATCTTCATAGTGGAAACCTGGAGTAGGTAAAAAAAAATGTTAACTAAACAGTAACAAATCCTAGTGTGTTCTCAGCAGCTTTTTAATATCTAGTACTTTTATTATCAGCCATGCAGATCTGGGAGTTAGGCCATGACAAGGAGAACCCTAGCCAGTTTGTTACAGCAGTCGATAATTCAGATTTAGAAGCTTTTGGATTCACGGACAACTTCATTTTCGATCTGTGGGGAGCAATAAATGATGCCAAGTCAGGTAGATTAACGAAGGAGAAAGCTGATTCCCCCTTCTAGTGTATGACTTATCTGCTTTGATATAATCATTTCGAAGATTAGACATGTGTTTTCGTATTTAAGCGACCTCGTGTGATACAGTGATAACAGGAGGGTTTCTAGTAATATTTTTAAAGAAACCGCTTTTCTAAAGTATTGGGAAATTCTTATGTGATTTTTGCACGACAGATAAATATTTGTCCCAGATTCCAATTTGTTTTCAAGTGAGCTGTGAAGCAGGTTTTGAAGATTGGTAGAAGAATATTTTTCTAGGCAGTCTTCAAAATCACAGAAAATGGTGGGTGAGATCGTTTTAAAAACTTACTGTTGTGATTTGTGCAAAGACAGACAAAGCTAGAGCTGGGTCAGGTCTTAATTTTTTTTTTTTATCTAAAAATAAAATGTCATCCAAGCAGCAAAAGGTTCTTTTCTTTCTCTGGTGGTCGTGTTTAAGATATTAAAGATATACCAGAACTTTCTTTCACTTAATTTTCTAATTTAAAATTAAGTGTAAACCAATATCAACGAATAAATAATTTTAATGATGATGAAAATATTTACTATATGTTAAAAGTTTTAAAGAAAAAATAACAGTTAAGTCCGAATTATGATAATTAGTTGCTGTTCACAATTTTTCATTCATTAAAGTCCTATTTTAAATTTTTTTTTAAACTGGTAACAGTGCTATGTGGCAAGTGAAGCTTTCAGCCAAAAATTAGGAATAACGGGTTTGCTGGCATTTAGTTGATGAGGTAGCCGTAAGTTTGCAATTAAAAGATGTAAATAAACTATTGTGTGATGTTTTGGTGACTTTTCCTCAGTTTTTGTTTATACAAAACTGTGTGTCCTGAACGTGTTAAGAACAAAATTTGGCTTTCCATTCATACATAGAATAAAAAACTGTTTGGGATACTTTCGATCACTTGACTAAGTTAACACAAGTAAAACAGTGCCAAGTGAAAGGCCAAAGTATTTGATACAAAACGAGTAAACGAAAAAAAAACCTACTTTTTGTTTAACTTGTGTTAGTTAAGAGGTATAACAAGAATAGAATTTAAACTATTGTTGAACTTATGTTGGACATTGCAAGTAAAGAGTTTGAAATCATTAGGTAGTTGCAGTTTTCGTCGCTAAAAAAAATACATTTTACAGCACAATAATTTTTATGAAAAATGTAACTTTTTTTTAGTTTACTGGATCTTTTTTCTTCGGCGTGATAATGCATCTTCTTTGTCAGAAGCGAATCATCAAAACTCGTCAAATCTGACTGCATTTCTACTATTACACTCGAGTGTTTTGTGTAATAGATATGACAAAAGCCTGAGCTTTGTTCCAATTGAAGGGCATATTATTAGTGAGCTTTTTTCTACAACTTATTTTTATGAATGCTGTATTACTTCAAGTAGTGTCTAAAGGCTGTAAAATAAAAAATAGGACACAAATCTTCCTATTGTTCTTTACTTTCTGTAAACTCTAGGCTTACACCTAAAAGCAGGTATTGTAATAGTTAAGCTTAACTGTTCGACTACCCAAAGTAGTGAAACGTAAATTATTTTCAAAATATAATTAAAATGGATGATGCCTCCACTCATTATTAGCATCTTTGAACTAATTATCTTGATGCAAGTAGATGTCTAGAAATGGACGAAAAAATCCTTTTCAAAAGAATCAGGGAAGACCTACTTCTGAAAATCATGTGTGGTTAACATTAGATTTATAACTTAATTTCGTAGAGCCAAGATTAATAGCTGCTGTCATCTTTTGGACAATTCACATACTAAAGTTTAAGTGAAAACATTCAGGAAAGTTATTTATTAATCAATGGTTATACGCTTGTACAAAACAAATTGAGAACGTGCACTGTGCTCTCTTAAGTAATTAAATATGGAATAGAAATTTCTCTAGAGCATCTGTATTAAAACGTTTTAACTGTAAATACAGCATCAACTGAAATTAATAAATATTTACAGAAAAGTAAGAAATCAGGCTTATAATAGCAGCAAGAACTTCAGTAATTATGAGTCTAAAGGACTTTATTTTAAACAAATTAAAATACTCTGTCCTTCTTATATGTGGCCGTACAATGGTAGTTTTAACCTCAACTTAAGGAAAAAGAATTAAAATGACACTTCATAGTTAAAATTACTAAACTCATTCTTACTGTACAAATCAATCATTTTCTTCACGTGAATCTGGGAAGTTCAAGAACAAAGAATCCTATCCAAGTTTAGAGACTATCATCCTTAATTGCTGGGCATTCCGTTGGTTTTGGTCCCTGGTGAAATGTTAAGAACAAAATTAACTTACGTATATACAACGACGACATTCTTTCTACAGTTCCAATTATAGTTTTAGGAATACTGGATGAAGTGATCAAAAAATTAATGTCCACTGTCTACTCCAGGCTTAAAAATAAAGTCTGTCACCATTTTAAAGATTTACTCAGCCAAATTTTACTTAAGAGTCAAACTAGAACACAAACTAATCATAAAAACGTGTTTACCTTATAGTTTTCACACACTAAGCCCAGGAAGTTTCTCAAAGCTTTGTCTTGATTTTGTCTTGAATATTCCTAGGAAAATGTTAAACAATAATTTTAATTACCATCCATGTTTACATATATAAATGCTCTTGTACAAAGATGATTCCAAAACTAGACAATGTGCATTTGAATAATAAAATAATTTAATTACTTTATTATAGCCTTTTTAAAAAAAAAAATACACATTTATTGGTTGTAATTAATTACTTGGTTAGATATCTTGAAAGTTTTTGTAACTATTTACAAATTAGCCTTCTCTTTACCACATAATGACTGGTACAGTAAAGACACAAATCTTTAAATGTGAATGATGGACACTTTCCTGACGTTTAAAATCAATTCATCATTATGTTACAAGAGTATTTACATAAATCACATCAGGTATCAATTGACTAGAACTTCTAAAGAAGGTTAAAGAGTATGACCTTACTTGTAACATTTGATGTCACCTTTAGGTAGAGCAAAGTTCAAGCTAGAAGTTTGGATAACACTTGGCAGGATAGCAACAGTGCATTAAAATAATTTGATAGTTATCTGAACATCATTTCAGTTTACTATCGAGTTAAAGAAAATAACAGTCTACCTTTCCTTGATGTACTTGTTAAAATAAAGATGGAAAACCTTTTGTTGTTATCACGTCAAGAATCGTGTTTTATATAAAATGTCTGCACCATTCCACACAAGATGTTAATTATGTGTATAAGAGGATTTATGCCAAATATAGTAAACAGAATATTTAATAATAGTTGAAAATGCTACGTTAAAAAGTTTATCTTGTATTACAGTATTAACAGATTAATTACTTGATGTTTTCAAAAAAACAACAAAACACCCCATCTTTAAAGCTACGAGTAAGATAGAGGAAATGTTGGGGAATATCAGAGATAAAATGGGGTTAAAAGACTAGGAATATAACAGCATGGAGCTCCACTAACTTTGGTAGGTCGTCGCTAGCAGCACGTTTGAAACGTGTCAAAACATGTAATATGAAGTAAATGAATGTTACATCTTCAACATGGATGAGCATCATCAATCATTTTTATTCTGGCAATATACTTACCCCATTTATCACTATTCTTGGAATGAAAGTAATACGAGGTTTTTGACCTTCTGTCTTCCGTCCCATCTCGTGCTGCCATCTATTGCCTTGATCAGAAGTTACACATTTTTCAACAGGTCCATAATCAATATTTAGTTTCCTGGCACACTAACCATACAGATAAATAAGAAATTGATTTCTATTAGATATTCCAACCATTCGGGCATTTTCTAAAAACTGTATTTAAAGGTGACACACTTCACACATTTTAATTTTTCAAATTGTGTTTCACAGGAACTATTTTGTCAAAAAAAACGGTAGGTGTCACCACTAAACGGCGTATTTCTCTGGTCATAATATTACTGTAACTTTTAACAAGATTAAGACAAGTTAAACCAACTACAGTGACTGACACAGAACTTTACTTTCTTGACAAGATTCACTAACATTTCTAATGGCGCGAAATAACGATAGAAAAGTTTTTCGGGGACAAATGCCCTTCGATCAAAACAATAATAGTTGAATCTGAGAGCTGGTAAGATACAATTGTTTTGCACGAGATATCATCATCATTTATTAAAAGAAAAACAAGTGTATCTTATATACGTGCATGTTTCAAGATCACAATTAATAAAGGAGAAAAACCTAAGCCTAAGTGAACATTTTAAGATTATCAGTAATTAACCAATTTAAAATTTAGACAAAAAAGTATTCCTTAACAGTTTTTTTAAACTACCGAGTTTTAATATTAGCTTTAATCACCCACGAAGTCAAAGAACTACTTGTATAACACAGCATGTTTTGTTAAATTTGGGCTATCGGCACTGCGCCCGATTTCAGTGTGTTGTTAGCCCTCAAGCTTATCAATGAGACAGGCGAGATAGCACTGAGCAGGTAAATAGTTATTAAGATAGAGCTCTCATTATTTGATGATATAACTATTAATTGTACTTACTCTCCTGATGAATAACAAATTTTAAACAGTTTGGGATCCGACAACAGAACACGTTATTTTATTTGGCGGTAAATGATACTGATATACGATATTAAAGAAAAATGGCGTTACCAATGGTCCTGCAGATTGTGGCCGTGAAGAGGACATAGCACAGTGGACAAATGGCAGCGACAGGTCAGTATTATTCAGGAGACGTATTGCACAGGTCTGGCAAAAGTCATGGAATAAAAAAAAATCATCCTTCAGCCCTTCAATAAATATTGTTAAACAAATAACGTTTTTATTTTCCCATAAAGACGTAATGAATAAATACAGTTAAAACTTACGATATTTTCCACATAGATTAAAAACCCGTAAAATATGTTTTTATTTATTTAGATTTAAGTAAGAACAAACAGAAATTAGAAGTAATGCATAGAACTGAAACATTCCTATTAAGTACAGAATGTTAAGACTAATTCCTGATCTTACCTGGACTAGGTTACCATAACATTCCTTAACACCATGCTGACACTGGAATACCCATGTTCCATTATTCAGTCGTTTTTCCTGTAAAAGTAATACGGATTTATGCTACGTCTATATTGGTAACAAGTCAACATTTGAATTTAAAAAAATGTATATATATATAAAAAAAAACTTTACTAACATAGTTTATTACCGTGAAGCCCGATCTTGTAGACACCACGCGCAACGCCAACCAGATCCGGGATTAACCGTAAACCCAATCTTAAAGAGACAAGCACCAACGGTCTAATCATAGGAATAGGGGCTTGATTTTGACCTAACAAGTTTTGCCCTAAAATATAAAATCGACCGTAGAATCATGTACTACAAGGTTTAAAATCGCTTGAAAAAAATGGTTCCAATGACTTCCATGCGTCACCACACGGCGCTAAAGGGTTAAAAAGGTGCAAGTGAAAATGTCACGTGTGGGTAATATATTTTCAGAAAAGGCATAATCAATTTGCAAATATATAAAAGTTATAGATATGTATGGAGCTTTTGCCCAAATATTTTGGGTCGTTTTCCCGAAAAACTATTTCAGCCAGAATTTTGGGGGGGGGGGGGGCAATTGTCCCCACCTCCTGACCCTCCGCCTCATACCCTATGGGTCTGATCCGGAATCAACCATAAACCCAAATCTTATTTTACACACAAATTCGCCAACAAAGAAACTTATTTTCTAGCAGAAAAAAAGGGGAACTTTTAAATGACCGGAAACCCATTTTCTGTTGGTAATTTCTCTAGCATATACGAGGTAAACTGTACACGTAAAATTAATAGTGAAGGAGTGTTGTAAATCTAACAACATCACTGTGGGAGTTACGAATTAGTTTTCACCACAATACAGTTACCATTCTGTTAGAATTTAAGATACAGTTCTTCTTTTTCCCAATTGTCAAAATAAAAGGCTTTTACTTATATTCCTTAATAGTATAAATATTTTCTATGTTGTTGTTAGGCTTAGGATTCTTCTACAGTAGGTGTCAGTGACTTGTTGGCGATAAATGAACAGCACACACTTTACTTGTTTTCAAAATAATATATATATATTCGGAACAATTTAAATGTATGTACAATAAATTCTTCGACACTGTAGATATTATAGGCATGTCATAAACACTATGTCAAAAGCCCACTTAGGCCTATTCAATTACTTTAGAATTTCAGTTGACAAGCCGAACTATCTTCTCTATATTACTATCGCACTAGTATTCTATATGTGTGATTCACTTACAGTTGTAGTGCGAGTTACCGTAATTCGTTTGGTCTTCTTTCTTCTAAATATCCTCTGTTCCTTTCGTCAAAGTGCACTCAGGCTGATTCAATTACTTTAGTACTACGCTTTGACGGAATAAATTATTTTTCTTATCTTCTTGTCTGCGGTTAGTCGTACTCTAACATATTAAACATTAGGCCTATGTCAATCGTTAGGCCTATCACTTCTACGGTAAATTTTCCTTTTGTATATTTACTTTCTTCTGCTATTATCGGTCTGCTGCTTCCCACTCGTCTCATGCTATTTATATCTTTAGCACCTAATCGCCTGTCCGCCTTCAACAATCTCAACATCAATGAATTATTAACAAAAGTTCCTACATTTGTCTGCTTTTAACTCGTATTATAACAAAAATTAAACAATAATAAAATATTCACTCACAAAAACAAATCAATAAATAACATCTAAACTAAACAGTTATTTATATCATTACACATTCCAAAACAGTTATATACGTTATTACACAATTCTTGAATCTGTCATTATTTTATTTCTGCAGTGCATATTTGTGAATACAAAACATTTTAATACTAATAATAAACGACCTTATAACACCAAATTTATTTTTCCTCAGTTGGACACTCAACATTTCGCTTTACAGCTTCTTCAGGAGCGTTTCACTAAAACATCGTAACTGTGTGGAACTCTACTGAAGAAACTGTAAAGCGAAACGTTGAGTGTCCAATTAAAGACAAATAAATTTGGTGTTATAAGGTCGAATATTGCTAGTACTAAAGTTCTTGTATCTGAATATAACGATCGCTGAAACTAATTATACTTGTCACAGGACATATTAAGCCTATTAAATTTTTAACACTACATTCTATATCTAGTTAATTAGGGATATTCAAGAATAAGAAGAATATTATAGTATTATTGTTGTAACAAATGGTTTATATAAATACTATTCCGACTACAAGTGTGTTTTGTTGTATTCCAGTCGGCCTGATGACCTCTGGATTGAGCAAAACGCGTCATCAGCAATAGATACGGTAAACACTGTGTGATTGGAATACTATTCTTATACACTTTTCCAATTCTTTTAAATCCATAAGGGACTAGATAAAGAACATAATGTTAAAAAATGGAATAGGCCTAATACTAATGTCTTACGATAAGTATAATGAATTATAATCATGCTTTGCCAGCTTGGTAAAAGTGTTTACATCATATCAGTCGATAAGTTCTAAAACTGTTATAAACATTTTAAAAAGTTGTATAAAATGAAATGTCTTTAGTTAACGTAATACGTACTAGAAAACATGGTATCTTACGTGAAAATATTTCATGATGAATTTCAGATTAACATCCTATACACAGAGAGAGAGAGAGAGTGAAACAGTATTTGCGTCAAGTTAAGGCAGTGTTCCTTAAACATTTTAGGTCGCGTCCCCTTTATTTCTCGGTTATACACAAAGCTTCCACCAACAAAAAAAAAGTTCAAACTAATTAAAACCAACTGATAGCCCATTTTGACAACGATAAATTTAGCTCCAAAAACGAAATATGAAATACTCCCCCTATTTGATGGGAAACACTGAGTTAGTGGAAATAGTCCATATCAAATTCTTAAAAAAATAATTAATTATCTAATATATGCTCAACAATCCAATTTCGTGGGTAAATCCCTTTGAGGACTATAGCATTCGGAGTCAAATAAATAAATAAAAAATTGCGAGAAAATGAAAACATTATATATTTACAATGTATTTTTATATTTCTTCACTTTAGCCTTTAAGTTATGAAATTACAAGTACAACAGTCATCCACGTGCATCTCAATAAACTTGATTCATTACGTGATCTGCAAAAAATGTGGTATTCTATATATATTGATCAAACAGGTCACCGTTTAGGTGATTGTTCACGTGAATATATCTTTCCTATAAATGGAATAATGATACTAATAAAACCCACAGGTGAAAATTTCAATAACTCTTCACTCTTGTATCTCCAACTTCCCTATAATTGGACTCAAATCAGCTCCCTTTACCCTAATGCAGATAGAACATCTGGAAAAAACGTTTAATTTTTAAATTATGCATATTATCCCCTCCCCCACCAAGTGTTTCATCTTATCTGTTTTGTTTTACAACATAAACTCAGCCCACGTGCTAAGCTACCAAGTACTTCTACAGATGTCACAAAACAAAGACTGATGTGTTACGATTAAATGGAACACACACAAAAAATTGGAGAAAAAAATAACAAAAAGTGGCTAATAGTAAACACGTTTTAATGTAACTGTTAAATATTGTCTTCCTCTGGCGATTTTAAACTTTGATGGAACAAAAAATGTGATACCACAAAAGGCTATCAAACATAGAACGTTCAAAATGGACCAACATCCCTAGGTCAGTGTTTCCCAACCTGGGCAGTACCGCCCCTAGTGGGAGGTTTTAATTTCGGGGGGCAATAAACTTTGAGGGGACAGACAGAAACGTTGAGGATTTCAAAGTTATATTTGTTAAAATTAAACAATAGCATGGATTATTATTACTTTACAATTTTCATTTAAGTAAAATATTTTAATGATCTAAAGATTTATTAGACGGGGCACGAGCGCTCATTGTTTGCTTCGGGGGCACTGCGGAGAAAAATGTTGGGAAACACTGGCCTAGGTTATCACCAAAATGAGATACGCAATCAAAGTGCGCCAAAAATCATACAAGTGGAAGGTAGCCCTCTAGTGTTCAATTTTGCATTTGGATAAGAAAAAAGTTACTGTTTGGACTTCCACAGATGTACCCAGAATTCAATTAATGATAAACCCTTGTTTATGAAAATAATATTAACAACATAGTAGCTCCACATCAGAACGGGATTAAAGGTCAAACTTAGACAAATATTCACATATTACTTCGTTAATTATAAAAATATGAAATTTACACATTTTTTTTCCTTTTTTTATATCATTTCCGTTGAGTGATTTTACACTTTAGACAATGAGATGTCCACTTACCCACGCCTTCCCATATGGCACTAGGTCCACCAGGAAAATCGACCTGACCTTCTTGTATGCTGGCCACAACTGTTCGACAATGAAGTCAATACTGTCTGGGCACAGAGCTTCGTAATAGACGCTAACTTGTACTGGTTCCTTAGGCTGGGCATCGACTTGCTAAAAAAGTAACAAGGGGGGAAAAAGTTCGTAGTCAATTCATTAAGTTAGCTTTACTTCTGTAAGAGGACAAAAGCTACGATAAAAATATTTTAAAATAAACTTAAACAAAACCCCATTTAGTATAATATCTTAAAATGGAAACCAACACGGATTCATTAACGAAAAATCTCGTCTCACTAATCACTTGTTATGCAAATAATTTTGTCATCAAGAAATTATTCCAACAAACGAGACCCCCTCACCTATGTGACGTCACAAATGATCTTGTTTATTTGTTAAGCCCAAAGCTATACTATGGACTATATGTACTGTACCCATCACGGATATCGAAACCCGGTTTTTAGCGTTATGAGCCTTCGGGTTCACCGCAGAGCCACTAAGAATGGGGTGGGGTAGCACAAAGCTGATCCACTGCCGACCATAGAAATATACATACAGCACTTTTTTGACCTGAACACTATAATGAGTAAAGGAAAAAATGTTAACTTAAAACAAAGAACCAGATATTAGCTTCAAAACTATCGGCTTTTTAAACACGCTTTTCCAGACTATCTGTTCACCAAGTTGGTACATGTCTGTTGGTTGCAGGGTCCCTTATAACAAAAAATTTATACTAAACAATCAATATCACACTCAATCTCACTAATTACTTTACATCTTCCCCCTAGAAAAATAGTGCCTTTCTTATTGTTTAGTTTCTTTTACAGTGTTGAATATAAAAAATAATTACTCAATATGTAGATTACCCAATGATAGTTAAATGTTGGCGCATCATTTTTTCTCGTATTTAATAGTGAGAAGGGTAAGGCTAGGACTTAAATATAAATTTTGGCAGGGAACGAGTTATCTCATACTAAATAGATTTATTTTTCTAACAGGGTGTTGGCCTTTGGAAGAGGTTACCTTCACATGTGGTGGATGCAGTAAACTTAAGAGATTGTTTGTTTGTAATTAAGCACAAAGCTACACAATGGGCTATCTGTGCTCTGCCCACCACGGGTATCGAAACCCGGATTCTAGCGTTGTAAGTCCGCAGACATACCGCTGTGCCACTGGGGGGCGAAACTTAAGAGAAGGCGTGATAATTATATGAATGATAAAGGCTGGATTTCAGTGTTTTATTTCCATTTTAAGAGTTTAGTATAATGGATGGGCCAATAGGTCTCTTGTTGTCCTTAAATTATATGTAAAATATATATAAATTAACGATTATCTAGGTGGTGCTGCCATCTAGAAAGTATTATATTTAAAACATAATATAAGAAATGCATTTTAAAGTTTATTATAGTGGTTGAGACGGCCTAGATGGACAAACAGGTCCCTTGTTGTTCTTAAGTTATATGTGGGTATATGTATTGATATATGTCGGAAGATTGGAATTTGGAGTCATTTCCATCACTCGCATCACATAACAACTGAGCTATCCAGATCCAGACTATTACTAACAATAATACAGAATGCTTTCCAACAGCTTCCTAAACACATTAACACATAGCAATCACAAGAAACTGTAAGAAAACCCACCCGACCTTCCTAAACCTCCACAGCTTTACATTTTGGTACGTTAACATTTTTCATTTAAAAAATAAAGTTGTTTATAAATAACGTAAAAAAAAAAGATTTGGGAAAAAAAAACACTTCCCATAACTTTTACTTCGAACTAACAGCAGTGATATTTTTTTTTAGCCACGGCATAGCGGCTCATTGAATGGATCCGAGTTTGTTTGTTTTTTTTCAAGTACAAACTTTTAGCTTAGAGCTCCATCTCTAGACCGATAAACAGTAAAATATTTTAATAGTCAATAATGCTAAGAATATGACAATTGTCAGACCTCTTGGGTAACATAATATTTTAATAATAAACAGCCGCGGCTATTACGGACTCCCTCTTCTTTTTTTTATTATCACCAGTAGCACAGGCTATGCTGACTTCTCACAGCGGCAGTCGAGTTGTAATAAAATGGAATTAGGTACAAAACCGCTTTAAAATAATTATTCAGAAGCTGGAGCGTTATTTCAAGTATATTTATTACAAGTTTTTTAAATCACTCATTTGTTGACTAATAACCACAGCTTGCCCACGCCCTTGGGATCTTAAACACCTGCGTTACTAGATGTATCTAAATGATCTAACCAACAGCTGTTTTCGCATGTCCAAATCGAGAGAAGTAATAACACTAATAACCCCGTGTGTTTACTGAAAGCGAGTTGTGTAATAGTTTTAAATGCGAAAGCAAGTGAAACAATGAAAACAACAGGCTTAATGTTTGTCACAAAAATCATTCTAATGTACAGATGTTCTTACAACATTCTAGTGTTACACATTCGTTTCTAATTCTAAACGTTTTAGGTAACAAGTTAACATTTTTTCTCCGTTGCATTTCTAGAGTCATTTCGAGGTTGAGCAATATACATACAGACTGTCATTTTAAAGATTAATTTTATTCGAACGCATCAACTTCTTCACGTGTAAAACCTAATTGTCCCTAATGACGAGTCCCTGAAAATCTCGAGAATTTGAATTAAATTGAAAAATAACAATTACAAATACATCGTTAGATATTGATGTAGGCTCTAACTTCAGTAATATAAATATGTACTTTAGTTTAAAAGCTAAGAAAACAAATTTTTCTATCTTTTGTTTCTTGTAAGAATTTGAGATGTCCTCGGTTCGTAGACTGAAAAAACATTTGAAGTTGAAGTAGAAACTAAAAAGTGAAATCTTGCTATTGGCTTAACGTACATAATACATAAATATGTTATTCAGTTATTGTTTGATCATCGTGCGTTCCATGAGTTAAGTATCCTCTATTATTACTTAAAGTTTTAACAGTTTTGGTTTAATATATATAGTTTAATTTTTATTATAAATATTATCTTGCGTCGTTACCTTGAAACATGGAGTTAGGACTAACCTACATCTCTCAACCTGGCCGAACCTATCTAACACTAATACTAACAGCGAGGGTAGCAAGGTATATTCTAATTATTAAGTGATAACATTACGTAAGCTAGTAATAGTATAAGTACTATTATGTGCATAAATTACCAACTGACCGGATTTAAATTAATATTTTTATTTGCCCTTACACCATTTTGTCATTCTTTGTAACGTAACTATTACAATTTCTACAATTACAAATATTAGCCGAACTGAAACAAACCCTTGTATTTAATCATTCCACAAAACCGTGCTATAGGTTGTAACGAGTACCAAGATTTCCCAACTTCAAAGTTCGAGAGAAACCAATACAATTACTATTAGCATTATTATAGATTTCCATTATGCCAAACAACAGTTGTACACGCAAGTTCATAACTTATAGAATATAAAAAGTACAGCCTTCGAACTAATAATAATATTAGTAATACAGAAGTTACACGGTGATTATCAAAACGTTTAGTTCAATTTCCCTGTCATTCATGTAATCGATATTATTAATAAACTATAAAGTACAATTCAGTTAGCATGGTTTAGCCTAATTCTGAACATCGTACACCATGTTAAGCTTAAGGTTTTTATTTTGTCCTTTTCAAGCACCCCACACATTTTACATTCCTGTACTACAACTAGCCCGAGAGGTAAGTTTAATACACATCATAAACCTTGAAATAATGCCAGCACCGACTCGCACACTTCTAAAAATTATAGACAATATATATATATATACACATATATATAATATTTGCTTTTTTAACACTTATTTGAATGCTTTATGTATTCAGTTACAACGTATTTAAAATACAGGCATATAACACTCACCAAATTCAACAGAAAAACAATGATAAATACACCAAAAAAGGTATACATCCCCATCATATTTTCACTTGTACGTCGCTTTCTCCAGTTTAAATCGATACGATGGTGACGTTCATGCAAGTCGTGCACCGCTGCGCGCCCTCTGTGGGTAAATCTCAAATTTTATTTTAGGATAGCACGTGCAAAAGTTGTTTGTAATGTTTAGTAAAACTTGTAGTTCATTCTCCAAACAAAACTGATTCCTATTAAAGTTTTATAAACTAATTAAACAGAACAAGAAAGAGAATACAATTCTTACTTCCGGTTCTATTGAACACCGAAGTTTGAACTTCGACATTAATACACAGAGATTGTAACTTGTAAAGTCTTTTGTTTATTCTAATATACAAATTGAAGGATATTGAGCTGAATTCTGTAGATATAAGCATTTCATCACAAGTCACGTGATAACATACAATTACTGCTCAAAGTACCATCAGATATAATATGCTTTCAAATTCCGTCTAACCAGATGGCGCGAGAGTTAAGCTCTTTCAGATCTTGTTTTTAATATGTTTATTGCTTATGAGGCACCCAGTAATGTCACTGTACTATAAAAAAGGGAACGTTTGATGTAACAATTAACAAATTATTAGAAAGTAAATATTGTCAGTGCATATTCTCAATCATATTTCTTTTTTTTGTGTGTGACAGAACATGTTTTTGTAAGAGGTGATTATATGATGATTTTGAACTTAACATTACATTCAGAAAACTACCAAAGCACCATTTGTTAAACATACATAAAAGTATAAGATCATAAATAATATTCAACGTTAAACTGGTACACAATTAAACACATGTAGAGTCGTCAACTTTTTGAAGGCCATAGATAGGCCTAAATAAAATGTTTTTAATTGTGTACCAGTTTGGATATTATTTATGATTTTAGCTTTATACACAAGTGCCAAAATACTATAACATAAAAGTATTGTTACGAGAGCGGAAGTGACGCGACGCTGGGAGCATGCGCGCTGGAGTTTCTAGAAGGATCATGACTTATCGAGGAACTCCGGGAATATCCGAGTGTTTACCAGGCGCCCTCTTTTTAGTATATAAGCCCGGCAAATAAAGCCAGCGATAGAAGAGATATGCAGAGAGATTGAAGAGATAGATAATTGAGTCAAGCGAACAGTAAAGTTAAGTAAAGTGTG